TGGATTCCATTTAATGGTCCACTGTAGTGATTTTCTACTCTACCTGTAAATCAATTTTATTTAGATCCTTCAGTGACATCTGCAACACTTGAAATACATTGGAGTGACAAATTATGATGTTCAAATGAACATATTCGCTTTAGTATTTCCTTTTCTTGGACAGAGGCAGATCAGCTGGTAAATTAGACTGTTACGAACATTGTTTCCTTTGCTTTATCACCTCGTATTTGCAGGAATTAAAATTAATTTCTTTTTCCATAATGACCAAAATAGTACCTATTTGAGGAGATAGTGACAAACCCAGCAAATTTTCTTGCTGATATAAAGGGAAAGGGAAAAAAGGCAAAGAAATCATGTTTGCTGTTTTTAAAGAACCAAATGGATATAAACTGTCAGACTTTGGGTCATCATTAAGCACAGGCCAGAGCATTGGCACGAGTGACCGTGTTGTGAAGCCTACAAGCTTTATTTGGTTTTTAGTTCACATTCCTGTAGAGTGAGACAGTCTTAATTTGGGAGAACTACGGGTAAACATTTATGGGAAAAAATTATTAAATATTTCCTTTCACAAAGGTAGCAGGCAAAATAAAAATAAAAACAACTCCTGCACAAAATGCTAAAGGTGGTCTTTAGCTATCAAAATTCAGCAAAGCAAATGAGGTATCAATGTTCATTTCTGACAGGTACTTGGGGCTTTTACTCTTGAGTTACCAATCTTCCCCCTGCCGTTTACCATCCACAAGCTCGTACCACATTTATTTTCAGATTGGAAGAGTATTATCCATATGTGAAATGGATATCCACATAGTCCAGCCCATCCCGTGGATGTCATAGTCACTTACATACACTTGCACCTAGATTGAGCATTACAGAAGAAGTGAAAATACTTACAAGATAAGGGTACTTATTACACCACCAGATGTAATACGGAACTATTGGTCACTTCCCAAACCTCTCACTGAACTCCAGTAGCCTTTGAGAGCTGTTTGCTGCAATTCAGTTTATGAGACAGTATTTTAAATGTTCTTACTCCAAAGAACTCTTGGAATGATGAAGAAGTCTGAATATTTTCTTTCTAAATATGAAACATGTTCTGCTTGCAGAAGATTTCAGAATTTTAAACAAATATAAAACACAGTTTATTCACCCCGGTGAAAGAAGACATCCTGTAGAGGGGTCTGAGGCTTGAGTGGACACTGCAATTTCTGCTGGCTTTAGCCCTTGGCACTACAACTCATTTATCTAAGTCTGAGAAATCCACAGGAACACCTAGGAATACCTAGATCAGATGTGTTTTGATCAGTGTGTACAGAGAGCTGAACCTTATCCTAACTCCACAAGCAGGAACATGCTGGCCTGACTGTACATGGGCCAGGGATATTAAAGCTCTCTTCCTCCTCTGACCAAATCAGATACGAACTTTCTCTGGAGAAAATTCAATGGCACGCACACCACCCCTGCTGCACTATAAATTTTATGTGATTCTTAGCTACTGAAAATACAGAAGATTGCCTCCTCTTCCTTGTATCTATAAAATGATGCGTGGCTCCTGGCTTCTTAGGAAAGGTGTTCCTCTCCAAATTCCTCACTAATTGTCAAGACCAAAGTCCAAAATGTTTGCACTAAACGGGCAAATCTTTGAGAGCAACCTGGTAGCTCTTTCCACTCAGCATGCAAAGATGAGTTTGATTTTCAAAATTTTATCACAATTGTGGTAGGGTCAAGGTTTCATTAGTAGTTCCAGTATTTGATGCAATTTCCTATAAACTCCCCAATGTAGCTCAAAAATAATCTGGGGCACCATCAGTATAACAAAACCTCAGGCGCATGTTTTCCTGAAATGTCATGCAAACATCTAGAAGAGTTCTCTTTGTGGTACCACCTTAATGGTGTCACACCAGGAAAGGAGAAGTAAGTAACAAATTTCGCTTCTCAGATGTCCAATGGAACAATACGCCAAAGATTTAATCTCCCAAAGGAACAGGCAGCAGATATTTAGCAGAATTAGTTTCACAGCACGGTGTGTCACCACAGTTATGCATAAAGATGTCATAGAGCTTGGCCTTTGAGGAGAGAACAAAATTATTGAAAAACAAGACTGACAGGAGGAGAATAAACTATTTTTCCCTGGGAACTGAGCTATGCTAAATAACTGATCCTTCTTGAAAATCTCCTGTATCATAAGTCTTTGACTGTTCTCTAGTTCAACCTGCTGCCTGTCAGTGAAACTGGGAGTATTTATCAGCTGGTATTATTAGTCATGTGACTTCAAATATTAATCATATTAATTAAAAAAAGTTGGTGTAGCAATTCCAGTTTCTTACTCATGAGGGATAAAATGCTGCATTCTACTTCCTTTTATTGAAAATTTCAGTACTATGTTAACTTCTGTCTAATATATCTAAAATATAGCCAAAGTAAGTAATACTTTAAAAGTTAAAAGATTATTTGTATGTGGCTTACTACATTTCTTCTAGGAAACAATGAAAAGGTAAAATGCCCTAACAAAGAATCAAGATATTATGACATGGTAAAAGAGATAATCCTACCTGATTGCCACACCTTTAAAAATTATATATAAGGAGTCTTTTGTTCCCTGGTTTTTGGAATGTCAAGCCACTCATAAATAATAATCTGGACCTAAATAAACATAGGCTAGTTAAAAATCCCGTATTTATTTAAAGCATTAAATGAATCATGACTTCAAGTATTCAAATGGCAGTATCTTTCCTCTGTTTCTTACCTAACCTCTCTTTTATAAAGGCTACCTAAGACTATGCCAAGAAGCTATCGGCAAATTTTTCTCAACTTGTTTAAAACATTCACCAGACAGTTTTAAATACCTTCAGAAATGCTTAATGTTATTATATTACGCTAACTTAAAGTAAGAAGCTGTCTGTAAGTCTTTAAAGCAGGAGAAACTGAATTAATTATCAGGATTTTTTTCAGTATTCCCTTAATTCAATTACGTCAATTCCTGTGTTTTGTCATTCTATCAGTAACAGCAAGATTTTTCAGCAGAGTTACAGGAAGCAAAAATATGAAGAAAGTAAAAAGACTGATAATACAATCAAGACTTAAAAACCCTTACATGTTAAAGAGTTTATTTCTTGGGGTTTTTTTAAATAAGAGAAAAGTATTGCCACTTTTAAATAAAAGTATTGTCACTTCTCCCCTTCACTTGTAACATATCTAGATAAGCTTAAAATATTCTTTTATTAAAGAGAGAGTTCAGTTACTTATTAAGAATTACTTACTCTTTTGGTTTGTATCAACTTAGGAAAGTAACTTGGAGAGATGTGTGTCTACAGTGGGAAAATCCCAGCAACCCACAGACTTCAGCAATGAAGGCGCATACAACCTCTAAGAGAGGAGATGATGGGTCAAAAAGGAAACAGGGCCAAATCTTGGATCATTCCACTATGAAAAAAATGGCTAAATTGGTGTTTGAAGGATTTCTTGACAAAGATGGCAACGTCCAGTTACCCGCTCCTTCCACCCCCAACTAAAACCACCTTTGTTTAAACACACCGGTTTCTCCTACCCTCCCTCATTATCTGGTCAGAATTAATGATTATCTGATTAATTAATTGTTACTCAATTACCACCTAATCCAATCCTCATCAACGTATCCTAGGCACACCTTTACAGCCACAATAAGTAAGATGACTGTTCATCTCCTCCTCCTCTTTTCCCACATCTCCTTCCTATCCTCCCTTTCCCACTCCCCCCAGATAAACACATTCTGGGATTTATTTTCCTGTATGAGATCCAAGAATCAGAGTGTTCTCTCTCTCTATGTTTTCCCCACAGGGTGAATAGGAGATGCTGGTCCCTCTGGTCCCACCTTGGGGTGAGCGTCAGTGACTCCTGCAGTGTTGCAGTTCTAGCAGAACTACTTAAAATGTGGTTCCACATTGCCCAACATTCCTTGACTCTCTTCCCTCCTCCAATGCTACTTTTTGGTGTTCTTTTTATTTCTCAGCTCCTTTCAGAGAAGCACCTCCTTAGCCCAACTCACTTTAATTATTTGGAGAAAACGTTTATTCACCCCGAATGAAAAAACTACTTTAAGTGTGAAATAATCAAAAGAAATACAAATTCCTGAATAAAATTCTAATGACTGTACTGCCCTATTCCACATGCTTTGCAACTGCTCTGTACTGTATGCCATATGCCAAAATGATTTGTATATACCACTGGTATTTTTCATGTTCCCTGCCATGTTTGGAATGCCACATGGCACAGGGTGCAAGAAGATAAGATCATTTATGTAAGCAAAATATGACCTTACAAGTGTGTAAATCCCTTATGTGCGTATGCAGGAGAAATAGCTGCGAGTACCAGTACTACTTGTATGTGTAATTATTTGCTTTACATGCCACATCAATTCTGCAAACAAATAGTAACTATTTAGCAATATTCATCTCATTGTATTGTATAACACCGAGCAGGGGAAAGAGACAGATAAAAGTAAGACTTCAAAGTCCATTAATAAATATATACTGGCTTCAAACTAGTATAGAGATGTTGAGTTTGTGCTGTGAAAACAGAAATTTTTGGCTGACAAAACAGCAGAAAATGGAAAGAACAGCCTGATCCAAAAAATCAAAAGTGCAACAGGCTGTGCTGCTCTTGGAGAAAAACATGGGCCTAGAAAGAGTAAACACAGAATTTATATGCAACATTCATTCATATAAACATATATATAAGCCCACGCACATCCTAAGTTGTGTTCTTGTGGATTGTTGGGTTTTTTTTTTTATAATTCACAAGCAGATATAGATAAAACTTACCAAACCTTCCTGTTTAGAATCTGAAGGTGATAAGGTTAAGTACTCTGAAATCAACAGATGACACATTCAGTTTTCAGTACACATATATATTCTGCAGAAATCCGGTATTACATCTCTTTGGAGTGTTTTGCACCTGTGCCTCTCAACATATGGTTAGAGAATGTCTATTTGTATTAGCAGGCCCACAGCTTGAGCAGACCAGTACTGTTTGAATCAGGGGACATTTGAGTCCCACTGCTGGATAAGAATGAGGAATTCTGTCAGCCCCGGGTCAGGCTACAGGTAAGTGCCACCCACCCGTTGCTTCACACATATGGAAATATCATGTGATGCCCTCACAGTGGAACAGTGGTTTATGGAACAGTGTGGCTTATGCCCTGCTTGGGAGGATGGCTTGGGAACAGCTTTACTTCAGCTCTCTGTCCTGCATCTTGAAATATTTCCTGCTTGGGGTGGCACGAACTCTCAGGCTGGAGGAGGAAAGTCTATCCTTTATCTCCCTCCCGCTCCTCCCTTTCCAACCCCAACTGTTTCCATGGTAGAGTCAGCTGTAGCCACTGCCAAAGAAAACAAGGCATTTTCCCACCTCGAGGGCATTCCCCTCTGAACATCAAACGTCCACAGCAAACAATGGAGTTGAAACAGCTTTGCAAATAAAAGGTCACAAGAATTTTTCATAGTGGAAAAATATCAGGCTACCTACAGGCAGGGGTTGTTTCCAGCTCACAAACACTACACATGCTTTCAAACACTCTTCACTGTGAGCTGAACTAGTCTTTGCTGAGACGTTGCATGGTCCCAAGTGATGTAACTTGAATTCATTCTCCCTCAAGCTATTTGGTAATCACCTTAATTGTCAGGTCTTAAAAAGAAGAGATTTTCAGTTCTTTGGGAAGGGAGTGCATTTACATGCCGTAAGAAGCCAAGCAAACCGGAGGGTGCTCTGAAATAGCAGGTCATACACTAAGCAGTGCACAAAGTAGGGGAAAGGAGAAAGGGCATGTGCTACTGGAGAGCTTCGGGGAGAGGAGCAGAGCATGTGATAAGCTGTTGATGCTTCGCAAGCTCTAGCCAAAGGACAAATGAGCAATGCAGAGAGCCCCTGGCTGCCAGAAGCTACTGAACCCACACTAGAGGCCTCCAATGGAGACTTGGCAGCATGGGGTTCAGCAACAGCAGGAGCCACATGTTTTCTGGGCTCCCGCGCTGTGCCTGCACATTCGCTCAGCCCTGCCAGCACAGCAGGCTCCCATGGGGTCACGGTTCCCCACGGCCACCCCGGCCCCCACCCAAACATCCCCTCTGCTCCACTTCCCTACAGCACTGGCATTCCTGCCTTCTCCACAAGCAGGAGGTCTGCCTTCTGGTGGTCTTCCCTTTCTTCCCTCTCTCAGAAGCAGAGGGATTTGTCAGGAAGTGTGTGACACCCACTGAGTGCTGCTGCTAAGAAGATGAATAGAGAACTCTTAGTCCCTAGACCAAGAGCTGAAGATGAAAGGTAATTCAAGAATCATTTGGTGGGAAAAATACCAGACAGGATATCACTGAACAAGTTTCTGTTACTAATCCCTAGCTAAACTAAAATTCCTTCAGATGAGCATAACAAAATAGTTTTACTGTGGGAAATTACCAGAGTTTAAATGTGCACCCCACGTATTTGGCATTCATCTCTTCCAGAATTCTGCATACAGGTAAGCCTCAGCAAAGATGGAAACTGTGATTATCTGCATTTTTCTGCATTGCTGGGGCAGTGGAGGAAGGGAGTGGCAGCCATGGGTTGAAGGTTCTGAGTTTTCAGAACTAATTATGTTGAAAATGAAAATGGTAATAATTTAATAATAAAAAAGGGCTTGCTTTGGATTTCTTTTTAATTTTCCCACTTCCCTACTGGATAGCTTAGCAGACACAAGCCAGGAGAGCCAGTGACTGGAAGAGTAGTTGAGCGCTTGCTCATTAAAAGAATTAACCCTACACATCTTTTACCAATCACCATCCTGCCAACTCCCATGGGAAGCTGCCCAACAAGACCATCACTCTCACTTACTGCCTACAGCTTCTCCCAAGATTTCAACACCTTTCTGTACATTAATGCTTAACCTAAAGTGCCCAGTATGGAAATGCTCCTCCAGTCTTGCCTTCCCTCCTCCTTCCTCACTTGGAAAAGACTGGTCAGCCAACATTTTTTTCACAATAGGATGAAGAAAACCTGTGAGCCTGACTAATTACGAGAAAAGACTCACACTAGAAGTACTGCTGAGAAAAAACACATCTGAGTTTTTAGATTTTAAATGTGTGTGATTGAGAAAATGGGACTTAACTGGTGAAGGAAACTGGTAGTTAAGAGGTCACTGATAACTGGGGGGTAGGGGGCAAAGGGAGTAAGGGAGTAGTTCAGATATTGTCTGTCATTGGTATATAAAATGTTTCTATTTGACAGTTTTCCGTGTTAAACCATGAAGTGACAATTGGTTTATAGACACTGTAACTTTAATCTTAGCAGAGACCATCAATTCAGACTAATCTGAAATCTTAACTCAGCACTTTCAAATAAAAACAGAAATGAAAAATTGTTACTGGTAAATAGCACCATATGAATAATCTTTTCTTTTTCCATAGGCACATGTACCAATTACAACAAAATGTCTAGAAACCTTTACCAGGTTCATGCCCCATCACACTGGGCATATCAGACATGCAGCAGTTTGCTTAGACTGCTCACATGCTTTTAGCAAATTTCAGCAGATGGATGGAACAAATGTGTGTGTGTGTGTGTGTGTGTGTGTGTGTGTGTGTGTGTGTGAAGAACAATAGGCCATGTAGGCAATCTACAGAAATCACAGTTAATTTTTTCTGTTGTCTTATCTTTACTGCAGAGAGTTGTACTGTGTACGGATGGATTTCCAAAACACACCAACAAGGTCTCCAGTTCCAATACCTCAGTAAAGCTCCCTCTTCTTCAGCATCCACTCCATTTGTACATCTGAACCCCAAGAAAATAATTTCTTTTTTCCAAGCAGGCAAAACAATTATTTCTCAGACATTAAATACACTAACACAATACAGACACATACACAGAGAGAAAATATGCATTAAATGTTTTGCAAAGGGGCCAAAGAAGGGAGTTTCTGGCAATTACTCAGCATAAGGAGTAAGGTATATGGTGAATAGATCAGATAAAATTAGTAGTTGTCAACCCAGTACTGCCTGATGACAGAAATTACAGCTTTATCTCTCTCTTATCCATGCCTCCCACATATCATGTGCCTCATTAGGATCCTATGGACAGAACACACAAGAAAAAGACCATCCTCAAGCAATCAGAAAAATCCATCCAAAAAATAAGTGAAAAATTTCCTGCCAGATTTAGTAAAAATTATTTAACTTTGTTACAGGACCTAAATATGTACTATCCTAGACTATGACTATCCATGCTGTAACCAGGTGTCTTTCCATAGTTAAAAATGCCTCCTTGCCCTCAAACACATGTTATTTGCTTGTTGGAAAAACTAGCTATATAATAAAGCAAATATTAAAGACAAATGGTGACTGACTCAGGGAAAGGACTGGGCAGTCAGGATCTAGCTATGTTAAATTTGGCTGTGTTTAGTCAGATGACACAGAAGTATGAACTTCGAGAAAGCACTAGAAACACCTTTGCCAAATATTTGGAGGAGAAAGACATTGTTTTTTAGGCTACAGGGTCTGTACAGTATCTGGCACACTGATCTGTGACCACATCACCCAAAGCTAGCAGCAAGGTGCTGGTTGTCCCAGTCATCTCCATGGGAAAACTTGGTTGGATAAAACTGCTTTTCCCAATTATCCACATTCCTCCAACTAAGTTCTTGCGCAGAGGTTTTCCTTTCAGTCACAAGAGCATGAGGAACAAATGAGCAAGGACCTTGAATGGCTGAACAGTAAGTCCAGAACAAGCCCAAGGGCCAGCATGTGATGACACCGCATAGGTCATTTCCTTCTGCATAAAAACCCTAACACTTAGGAAGCATTTAGCAGAACAGCAAAAAGGATCAAAAGTGTTTTCTATCAGATCACACCGAACAAGTTTCCAGCAGATTTAACGAATGGTGCAAAACATTCCAGCACAATTTCGCTGGTTTGCATTACAAGGAAGAATGTGAGCACATCAAAGCTTGAATTTGCCGAGTAAGAAATTATCCTTCTGGTCCTCAAAGACCAACTGACTTTGAAATTAGAATGAACTGTGCCTTGACCGCATTTGTAAAAGCAAAAGAGAACCAAATCACAGACACGATCTGTAGGGAAGTCTAGATACTGCCGACATAAGTTTTTCCACCTGTGTTTTGAGGTTAAGGCTGTAGTGCCTGAACACACATAATTCATGAGCTGCGCTTCCACAGCCTCACAGGGCTCTCAAGGGCCTGTCACATTCTTCTCAAGTGGATCATTAAGGGTGGTGTACCTAAATGGATGGGTGGAGGAAATTTATCTGAACGGAAGATTAGAAGTGATTCAATTTTGGGAGATAACCCGACTTTTTGTCTAGGTAAGACAATAGCTCAACCATGTGAGTTTACACTGGCATGTGGGGCTACTCAGCAGTTTCACATACAGATTCTGTCGTGCAGATGTAGAAGAATAGCACTATAAAGCTTCTTTTTGTGAACCATAAAGGTATAATTCTGACATGATGATGGCTGATGTAATCAACACTTTCATGAGGTTAGGCTTAAAGAGGCAAACAAAGCTTTTTACAGTGAACTTTCTGAATTCCCTTTGACTGAAAAGAGTTCATCACTGACAACTGGTGGGACTGCGACAAAGATAAAAGGAGTGGAAATTCATGCTCAGATCGTTTTACAATGGAAGGAATCTTTTCTCTCTGTAGAACACACTGCAAGTAGCGAAAAAGACCTGGGAAGAAGAGGAATAGAGATGACGGTCTTCAGTACAATCTACTTTCAGAAGAAGAAAACTACTTGAGAGGGAAGTCAGTGCTGAAACTTTCCATTCCAAAGCTTTAACTACTAGCAGGACTAAATTATCTGTGAGAAAGCACTAAGTTCATTCCACACCTTCTACAGAAATGCAAAGCAGAGTATAGACAAAATTTCCTACTTTTCTTTAAGTATCTCTGTGGTTGCCTGGATGAATGGAGGTGTCAGAATTGTAAGTGGAACACTGACTGACCAGGAAAGGAAATTGTTTAATTTATGCAAATACCAGAGACCATGCTTGTCATACTGGAGCTCTAAAAACAAAACTCGTGCCTTCCTCATTCTCTTTTTCACAGTCGCTTTTGTTACTTATTTTTAAATACCCCCCTGACTAAATGGCTTCCAGAAGAAGATGGGGAAAAAATCGTAAAAGCAAAAACTGGGAGAAACCATAGAAGGATAGCTAAGCCATCAATTTCTGTAGACCAAACTCTTAGGTCCAATTCACCCTGTGCTACTGCCAGCCACTTACATCATTCATAGCAAAAACTTTGACAGTCCAAACTGGTGTGTTCAAGACTTGCAGGAATGCTGCTTATTGACAATATATCCTAAAAGCTAAACACAAAATAATTTTAGCATCTGCAGAGCATTATTTAAATAGAACAGTTCTTAAACAAGCAATACGCCATTTAAAGGTGCAAATCTCAGCATTTACTACACTAGAAGTTTTTATGCAAAATCCTCTTGAATCCTGGAAAACTTGCTCGCTAGAAAGGTGCATGCTGTTCTAATATATATATATCCTATGTCAGCACAAACAGCCTTCATGTAAACACGCAGCCGGGAGCACCATGAGTAACAACTCTGTTTCCATCAGAAGCCCTTTACCCTGCGTAAGAGGTCTGCACGCTAATAGATGTCCTAGGCTAACGCTAACTAGCTACAGCTGGCTCGCAGCTATAAAAAGCATTAATGAAAACATAAATCCTAACTTCTCCACTTCCCGCAGCCCGTACGTCAGGGCTGCGCAGGGGCAGCGCTTTCCAAGAGGGCTGTGTGAATGAACGGGCTGCTCCGAACCAGCGCGCTCCGGCTGCCCGTGTTTACCGAACAGCGTGTGCGGGGGACGCGGGGCACTGACACGCACCGCGCCTGCCCCGCCGCAACCCCGGCCTTCCAGGGAGCGCCTGGAGAAAGGCAGGAAATGCCTCTTCACCCAGGCGGCGAGCCACCGACAGAAAAGTGTCAGTCTGCACTAAACGCAGCTCGACTTCACCATGTAGCCCTGTGTTTGGCTGTGATACCACTTTGCCGTGCTGCCACAGACTCAGTTACAATAAAAAACGCAGGCAGTGACATACACGGAATTTAACAACACTTCATACACTCTCGAAACTTACCACAGTACTTACATTTTTATTGTGCCAAATACAAAACTAAATTGCAGAGAGAAAAAAAATAAAAGGAAATAGACAGGTTTATCCAGGACATATAGAGAAAAGGAAAAAAAACCCATGTGTTTCTACTCCATGGAACTAAGGGTTGCAAACTGAGACCAAAACATCAGGATACTTGAGGTGCTACAACAATCAGCAATTTGTATCAATCCACACGGTGCGTACACAGAATCTTCATCATTATTTGACTACTGAACTAAGGATTGCAAATTGAGACCAAAACATCAGGGTACTAAAGTGCTACAACAATCACCAATTTGCATCAATCATGTACGCCGTGCACACAGAAAATAGTCTTCATTATTATTTGAGTAATGGATTGTTTATGTGCTCTGTTAAAATGGTTTTATCGTGAAAGCAGTTACTTTGCCGCCATCTGCTTCTATGGATTTCAGCAGGTGACCTCAGACAGAGACAAATTCTTCAGGTGTTTGCAGGGAGGCCAGGCATGTTGGCTTGCTATCCAATATGCTGGGCTAGCCACAAGCCTGAATGAATAAGCAAGAATCATTCCTAGCTTTTATTTTTCATTTTCATTTTTATAACAGAAATCCATTTATCCACAAGGTCGATCAGGAAATTTGGAGTTCTTAATCAAAAAAAGTGTAGGAATACAAAAGTACATTTTTCTTAAGAAAAAAAAAATCTTATTTCCAAATATCCTGATTCTTCTTTCTCATGGTTTTGTTCAATACCTGACTTTTTAATTTCTTCTGATTTGCACTACCCAAACAGCAACTGCAACCAGGCAGATCACCCCCAAATTTAGCAGGGATCAAACAAATCACAGAATGCAACCCATTTGTCCATGCAGGAGTTTCCTAAATATAGCACACAGAGGTTATCCCACGAGGTGCAACCCTTGCAAGCATTTAAAAAGAAATTATCTGATTGTAATTCATTGATTTGCTGAAGTTGCAACCTCTAAGCCAGATGTGACACCTCTTTTTGCTTTGAATTCTCCCCCTTATCCTTGTACATATAAGCTGATTTCCAACAGATTTCTTAAAAATCCACAACCTTAGTAGAGTCCCTTCCCACTTGCACTGCTGAAACATAAACAGCCTGAGAGACACACTGATCTTCCCAACTGTTCATGCATCCACTTCAAATACCTGTTTTCTCAGGATGTTATTGCTACAATTCTCCCACAAACCCTGGCAATCCAAATAAAAAAGGTGACTCAGATACACAGAAGCACCAAGGTATAGATGAGCTCCTAACCCAGATATTTTCAAGCATGATTAAACAGCCCAAGCTGCAGCAAGAAAGCTTTGGCAGTTTTCAGCTCCCTTGGAAAGGAAATATCCACTTACCATTAAATTAAATAGAAATGAAGAAATTAAAAACACTTTTGGAAAGATTAGACACCGAGTGTCTTTGCTAACATTGTCTTCCACTTCCCACTTACATTATGTTAATACAGCCAGTTAATTTATAGCTCCAGATTGAAGATGTGACATAACTTGTTCCAATCAAATTAATTTCCTTGCACATTTTTCTTCATGTCAAACAGAATTTGCAAATTTTGGCATTTGTTCAGAGGCAGTGGAAAATGCATAATCCCATTGTTATAGGACAAAGACAAGAACATCTGTAGTTGTCATGACTAGATCATATTTGAATTCAATAGTGGGGAAAGCTGCTGCCTCAGAGAGGAAATCCACAGCTTCCAGCAGACCAGGTTATTAACAGCTCCATCCAACCTGCTTCTGAACACTTCCAGGGAGGAGTCATCCACAACCTTTCTGGGCAACTTGTTTCAGTGTCTCAGCACCCTCACAGTAAAGAATTTTCTTCCTAATATCTAATCTAAACCCACGCTCGTTCAGTTAAAGGTCATTCTCCCATGTCCTATCACTACATGTCCTTGTAAAAAGTCCCTCTTCAGCCTTCCTGCAAGGCCTCTTTATGTCCTGGAAGGCTGCTCTATGTTCTTCCCTGGAGCTTTCTCTTCTCCAGGGTGAACAGCCCCAGCCCTCTCAGCCTGTCAAAGTCGAACACCGCTGAAGTACACTCTGCATTCACTCCTAGCCTCAGGCATATGTGTTGTCCACACTGCAGTCAAACACACACCTCCAATCGAGCATCTAAATCCAGCGTGTTACAAAACCAACTTGAGCAAATATCAGGCAGTATGTATCAGTTAAATAATCCTTT